GGATTGGCCGTTGGCAGATTCGGAATTTTTTTCTTTCTTGATAAGAATCCAATAACATCAAATCACCACTCAAAGAAACTTCTTTTATGGCCTTTTCTTTTTCCTTTATTATTTTCTTGAAATTTCTTGCCAAGTGAATGAAATATGAAATACTTGGAATTATATTGAAGCAATCTTTTATCGTATATGATGAAATAAAATCAAGAGATAGCCACAAAATAGGAGTTTTCTATAACCATTTTCCTAATGATAAGAAGGAAGAAAAACAAGGGGCCTAAAGGGTTTAAAACATACCATTCAATTCCCATGTATTTCATGTCTAACACCAAAACTACAATTTTTACATACATAATATCGTACCTATCATTCTTCTTTTATGTGATATGAAAGATTTAAGTGTTATAAATATATAAAAAAAAATAAGGTTTAAGTGTTAGATATGTAAATACATAGAAATTAGGTGATATGTATGTAAATGTCTCAATATTATATTGCTCTTCATGATTTAATAATAATGAATAGCACTCTTATAAAATAACTAATGAATATTTTCTTTTCTATTCATTTAAACATTTAAAAAAGAGTAAAGTGTCAAAACAGTCCCTGATTATTTTAATATTGAGCTCTTATAGTTCACATAATTACTATTTCAACTCAATTTAAAGAGTTTGGGGGCTATTTCGGCATTTCTAATAACTCAGGGGCTAAAATAGCCCCATATAAATAGCTGGGGACTACTTTGATACTTTACTCAGAATTCAAATAAATAAAAGGATTACTTACATAAAACCCACTCAAAACATTATTATTTAAAAACTAGCATCATTTTATTTTTTGAATCAACGCAATTGCATGTGTCACAATCAAACCTTTGAGATTTGATAAAAAAAAGAAAACTAATTGTGAGGGTTTTATTATGAAGTTTGATAGCTGAGTGAGATAATGAAAGTGGGTACCAGATTTGTAAATAACAATGTTTGAGAGTGCCATGTATGTGTGCTATTTCCATAAATAGTCTAAACTTACATGTCTAGTTTGAACATTTACAAAAATTAGCTGGCAGAATTGTTATGATTTTGTTGAGCATAATATACTAATAAAGTGTTATATAAGGGTACATAAATAATTATTTAGAACAATTGTGTAATTATTTAATATACTTTCAAGCTCCAATCAGTAAACAAATGATTTTGCCATCAGAAGCTTCATCTAGCCACACTTTAATATGACTTAAATCGATTCATATTAAAATAATACACGCGCGCACACACACAGATATATATATATATATATATATAT